CCGAGAGCCCCGGGGAACCCCAGGCCTTCTTCGGGTCTCAAGAAGAGAGGGAGACCGCAGGACCCTGGCCCTGGGTTTGGGGGTTAAGGGAGGGTCTTGCCCCTTTTCCACGTTTCCAGTGTGGAAATGCCCTTTCCTCCTGGATGGATGGGCCTTCCCTCTCCCTCGAGGAAAAACCTTATGACACTCCCAAAGCGGTAGGACCTGAAGCGGAGAGAAAAGGCCATGGTTGACACACAGGGTGTATTTGGCCCAAAAGAGGGGAAGCCCGACCAGTTGATGAATGGGCAGGAGGCAAGGGAGGCAGGATTTTAGGGACAGTTTTTATCAAATAGGTGAATGAGCGGAAGATCTCTTGGGGGGTTTTTTTTTTTTTTTCGTTGTCTCCCCAATTGACAGTGGAGCAGGAGAAACTTAAGCTAGACATAACGAGGAATTTCCTGAGCTGCCACAGTGAGGACAGCAACAAGCCCAGGTCCTCCCTCCTGGATGTTTGAGATGAAAAGAGCAATGCCTGCTTGCAGACGGGGCACTGGTCAGATTGGTCCTTGGGGAATCTCCCTGCTCGGATTTTTCTGGACCAGGGCCTGGGCGGAGATGGGACTCCCCGGCTGCTGTTAGGAGGGCAGAGTGACAAATGCGATGGCCTTGCCCTGCCCCCCCCCCCCCCCCCGGTATGCACAGGGCCCTGACATCCCTAGTTGGGCGTGTGTGGCTCGGGCATCCATCAGCTGCCCCAGACTCTGTGCTCAGGAGGGGCCCTGTCCCCTGGTGGGTGAGCACTCTGTGGGCGTGTCTCGGGTCCCTGGGGTCTCTCAGTGTGGGTCACGTGGCTGCACAAGGCTTTCTGCCAGAACTGCCCAGCATCACCTTGTTCTACACAACTGGCTGGCAGACTCTGGTTTCCGGCCCCTCCGTTTGGGGTTTCCCCCGGCAGCTTGAGACCTGCCAGTCCTGTGTCACCCGGCCTGGCTGTTCCTGCTCGAGGCCTGCCCGAGCTGCTGGGCCCTGCCTCTACCCACGCCTGCTCAGCTTTTTTTCCCCCTTTTTTTTTTGGTTAATCCTCACCCGAGGATATTTTTCCATTGACTTTTTTAGAGAGTGAAAGAGATGGGGTAGACAGAGAGAGAGAGAGAGACAGCCATGTGAGAGACACATTGATCTGTTGCCTCTTTCATGTGCCTGGGTCTCCTCACCCCGCGGCACAGGCTTCTGGTTGGAGGCTGCTCCTTCCCCTCCGTGGCGGGCGTGTGCCGGCGGGCACAGACGGTCCCAGGCTCGCCCCTCCCCGTGTGGGATTTTGATTCATGACCATCTTGTTCTGAGCCCAGAGCAAGCCGTGGACAGAGGTGACGGGCACACAATGCTCGGTGCTGAGGGCGGCGAGGCCCCGGGGCGGGGGGGAGGGATCAGTGCACCCATGAGCGTTGACACCACTTCGTTTGCACCGTGACTTTTGCTTCGCTGGGTTTGGGCTCTTCACAGCAGTGTTCTGGCTCTGCCTCTTGGGGGAGCAGAGGCTTCCCTGCACAGGCGTGGGGTGGGGGGGACCCCAACTCTAAGGGAATTAAAGGCATGCTTCTGGAACCCTTGGGCAGGCCACCCGGCCGCTCTGTGCCTTAGTTTTGCCATCTGTCAAATGGGGCTGACCACAGCATCGACTTCAGAGCGGACGGAAGGGGTAAATGAATTCCCGCAGGAAACTGCCTACAGTGGTGCCTGGCGCATAGTAGGTGCTTAATGAACGTCAGCCGTTATTGAAGGGAGAGCTGCTGTGGCCAGAACCCAGCCAGCATGGAGGAGCCCTCTGTCGCCGCCTCAGAGAGAATTGATTTCTGGATCCCTTGGGGGCCATTGCTCTTCCTATTGGCTCAGATGAAGCATGGATAGGGGAGCTTGATTGAGCTCCCACCCACTTCAAACCCTCTGCGGGTCCTTCCTTGCCTTCTCTGGGCCTCAGTTTGTGCATCTGTGCAATGGGGAACTTGGATTGGGGAATGTCCAAGGGCAGAACCATGGCGGGCTTGGCCTCGGGTTAGCTGACTGGCCCCTCCCCTGCCCCTGCCCCGCACGCCTGCCTGCTGACCCCCTCTCCTCCACAGGCCATGACACGTGCACGCAGCAAGCTTTCCAAGCCCAGAGGAGCCAGCTGGTGGGGCTGCTGGGCTCGGGGTCCCTGGAGGCCTTCGAGAGCGTCCTGGACTGGCTGCTCTCCTGGGACGTGCTGTCCTGGGAGGAATATGAGGGCCTGCACGTCCTGGGCCAGTCCCTCTCCCACTCGGCCAGGCGCCTCCTGGACACCGTGTGGAACAAAGGTGCTTGGGGCTGCGAGCAGCTCCTGGCGGCGGTGCAGGAGGCGCAGGCTGACGGCCGGTCCCCTGAGCTGCATGGCCACTGGGACCCCCACTCTCCCCACCCGGCCCGGGACCTGCAGTGCCACCGGCCAGCCATCGTCCGGAGACTCTACAGCCACGTGGAGGGCGTGCTGGACCTGGCGCAGGCGCGGGGCTTCCTCAGCCCATACGAATGTGACGAAATCAGGCTGCCCATCTTCACGTCATCCCAGCGGGTAAGGCGCTTGCTTCTTGCGCAATCAGCATTCTCAGGAACAGAGGCTGCTTCGTCACCAGACTCACTGGTCTCCGTGCAGCCAGTCCCAGGGGGAGACGTGGGCCAGGGGGGCCCCTGAGGAGGGGGCCAGGTGGGGAGAAGTTGTTGCATTTAAAAAAAAAATATATATATGTTTTTATTGACTTCAGAGAGGAAGGGAGAGAGAGAGAGAGAGAGAGAGAGAGAGAGAGAGAGAGAGAGGCATCAATGATGAGAGAGAATCATGGATCGGCTGCCTCCTGCACGCCCCCCACTGGGGACTGAGCCCTCCACCTGGGCATGTGCCCCGAAGGGCAATTGAACTGTGACCTCTTGGTTCGTAGGTCGATGCTCAACCACTGAGCCATGCTGGCTGGGCTATGGCTGTCTGTTTTCAATGAACAGCTCAACAGATCATAACAATTCATTAAATTAAATCTGTATTTAATGATGCATATAAGCACAGTAAGTCCTGATATGGATTAAATGCCACCTAGGGTTTCTGATATGGAATTGTGCTGCATGATTTCATACGTGATGGTATGAACACAGGTGTCCCCATCACCCCGGGACAGAAGTAGGGTGTTACGAGGACCTGTGCCCGTCCTCAATGACAGCTGCTGGTGGCAACCGCAAGCCGGACTCTGTGAGTCATGGCTTTCACTGTAGTTTTAGTGCCTGACAAAACCAGGCCCCGACACCCTATCCCAGTGGTCGGCAAACTCATTCGTCAACAGAGCCAAATATCAACAGTACTTCTTCAAAATAGACTCGCCCAGGCCGAAAACCGACTTCTGTGCATGGGCCACGGAGTTTCAATCGCACTGTACATGTGCCCGCACGTGGTATTTTGTGGAAGAGCCACACTTGAGGGGCCAAAGAGCCGCATGTGGCTCTCGAGCTGCAGTTTGCCGACCACAGCCCTATCCTTTTGTTTTGAGAAACAGAGTCGCGAGCACACATACAGTTGTGGGAGGGAAGGGCAGTGTTGCCTTTCCTTTGGGGATGAGGCTCCCAGGAGCGCGGGGGGGTGGGGGGGGAGCTCAGGGTCTCGGGGACAGGGTCTGGCTTCACCTTCTCTGGGAGCCATAAGGGCCCTTCTGGGATTCTGGGGGGCCAGGTCATTAGTGACCCCTAGACATACAGGGTTCCCTGTGCTGGGGGGCCGTGTGAGTCAGGGGCCGGATGTCCTTTTTAAAAAAAAATTATTGTTGTTGTTGAGAGAATTACAGATGCCCCCCATTGCCCCCCGCTTTGTCCCCCTCCACTGGCTCCTGCCCCACCCTGGCCTTTACCGCACTATCGCCTGTGTCCATGGGCTGTGTGTGTGTGCATGTAAGTTCTCTGGTTAACCTCTCCCACCCCCTTTCATCTGAGATCTGTCTGTCTGTTTCATGCTCTGTCTCTGGACCTATTTTGGGGGGTTAATCCTCACCTGAGGATATTTTTTCCATGGATTGATTGATAGAGAGAGACAGAGAGAAACATTAATGCGAGAGAGACGCATTGATTGGTTCCCTCCCACATGTGTCCTGACGGGAGCGGGGAATCAAACCCGCTACCTTTTAGTGAAGAGGCCAACGCTCTAACCACTAAGCAACACTGGCCAGGGCTGGACCTACTTTGTTTTTTTGGACCTGTTTTGTTTGTCTGTTTATCTTATTTTAAAGTTATTCACTCTTTTAGTGGCTGCCTGTCTGCAATGAGCAATCCATTATTGGAGAGGGGACCCGGGTGGGTGTGTGTGGAAGTGTGCATCTGGCTGCCCGATGGTGGTGGGAACATCTTTATTTATTTAATATATTTTATTGATTTTTTACAGAGAGGAAGGGAGAGGGATAGAGAACTAGAAACATCGATGAGAGAGAAACATTGATCAGCTGCCTCCTGCACACCCCCTACTGGGGATGTGCCCGCAACCAAGGTACATGCTCTTGACCGGAATCGAACCTGGGACCCTTCAGTCCGCAGGCCGACGCTCTATCCACTGAGCAACACCGGCTAGGGCAGTGGTGGGAACATCTTTAAACCCTCGCTGCCGATTGGCTGCTCTCCTGGCTTGTGCGGTGCGGTAGGAGATGCCTCTGGCCTCCCCACACACCTCCACCGCCTTCTGGAGAAGGAACGACTTCCGCTTCCCCCACAGGCGCGGAGGCTCCTGGATCTGGCCACGGTGAAGGCCAACGGGCTGGCCGCCTTCCTCCTACAGCACGTGCAGGAGCTGCCGGTCCCGCTGGCCCTCTCTCTCGAAGGTACATCCCTGTTCCTCTTAGTCCATCCGCCAAGGAGGCAGGGCTGTGCACTGCGTGGGTACGAGCAGAAGCTGCAGCGTGCGGGACGTCAGTTAGAACCCCGCCTCCTGGCTGGGGGCTCCCTAAGACGCAGTGTCCTTCCTCATCCTGAGGGTGACTCCACCCCCGTCTCATCGGGCTCTCGGGGGATGAACAGGATCGATGTGGGCGATGTTACTATTACAGTATTAGCGCTTATTATTTCCAGAACGGTCAGGGGAGCTGCTGTGTGTGGAGGGCTGACTACACGCGCCCCTCACCAGCCGAGCCCTCATGATGTGCGCCAAGGAGATACGGGCACACGTTGGAACAGGGCTGGTCTCTCCTTCAGTTTTAAATTTGTTTTTCAATCCCTGTTGACAGGCAATGGTGCCTGAGTTTCAGGTGTGCCCTGCAGCGATCAGACGTCCCCAGCCCTTACTTGGGCCTGGAACCTCTTGATCTCTGCGAGGCAGCCCCTGACCCTCAGAAACCTGAGAACAAGTGGATTTAGATAAGGTGGCGGCTCTCAGGGCACAGGTCTCACCCCTCAGGCACCCTGCCCCGTGCTGTGTTTACAGTCTCCGTGTGGCTTCTCTGCTTTGCAGATGTGGAGCCTGGGGCGGGCGGTGCAGAGGGGGCAGGCGAGGGTGGTCTGGCTTTCGTCGGTGTGGGTCTCGTTTCGGAAGTTTGCCACGGGTCAGGCATTCTTCTAAACTCCATTTTATCTCATTTCCCCATGTTCACAGATGAGACGACCGAGGCCAGAAAAGTGGCTCGCCCAAGCTCGGGGGGGCCCCAGGCAGGGGGGCCCCAGGCTTCCAGGTCTCAAGCTCAGGTGTGTCTGACTTCAGAAATCACACCTTCTGCTTCCCCTTAGAAAGACCCCGCTGAGCCGAGTGATCCAGCTGGGCTGGGTGGTGCAGGGACTCCCCTAGGCTGCTTGGGGTTCGAATGCAGGCCCCCCCTGCTCCTCCTTCTCCTCTTCCTCCTCTTTTTAATCCTCACTCGAGAATATGTTCCCCATTCCTTTTTAGAGAGAGAGGAAGGGAGGGAAGGAGGGAGGGGGAGAGAAAGAGAGAAATGTTGATGTGAGAGAGACACATCGATTGACTGCCTCCTGCCTGACCCCAACCAGGGATCTAACTGGCAACCCAGGTACATGCCCTTGACCAGGAATCGAACCCACGACCTCTCGGTGCTTGGGCCGGCGCTCTAACCCCTGAGCCACACCGGCCAGGGCACAACGCAGGCCTTCTGACCCAGCCTAGCGCTCCTTCCCCTCGGCCGCTCTCCCCGATGTCGTTGGTAATGAGGGCACTGACTAGGGTCTTCCGAGCACTTGCTTTGTGTCGAGCGCTGCATGAAGGTCTTGACCTGAAGTATCTTCACGGATCCACGTAAATACCCTCGGAGGCAGGGACCACGGCCGCCTCTCCCACGTCCCAGGGGAGTAAACCGAGGGCGAGGAAGGTTGGGTGGCCGTCCTCCAAGCCCACGGCTTGTGGCTGAAGAGCCCGCTGGCTCTTGTCTCCCCCGTGTAAGGCCACGTGTAAGGCCACCCCGCCCCACGGAGCCCTCCCTCCGCTCAGGTGCCCCCCGCTCAGCCTCCTCCTCTGCCTTCCAGACGCCGCGTGTCGGAAGTACACGTCCAAGCTGCGGACCACGGTCTCGGCCCAGTCGCGCTTCCTGAGCTCCTACGACGGGGCGGAGAACCTGCGCCTGGAGGACATCTACACGGAGAACGTGCTGGAGCTGCGGACGGAGGCGGGCGCCCCGCAGACCAGCCCTGCCCCCCCGGGCCTGGACGCCCTCTTCCGCTCCGGGAGCCCCCGCAACGCCGACGCGGACACCGTGCTGGTGGTGGGCGAGGCGGGCAGCGGCAAGAGCACGCTCCTGCAGCGGCTGCACCTGCTGTGGGCGTCGGGGCGGGACTTCCAGGACTTCCTCTTCGTCTTCCCCTTCAGCTGCCGGCAGCTGCAGCGGCTGGCCAAGCCCCTGTCCGTGCGGGCGCTGCTCTTCGAGCACTGCTGCTGGCCCGACCTCGGCCAGGAGGAAGTCTTCCGGTTCCTCCTCGCCCACCCCGAGCGCGTCCTCCTCACCTTCGACGGCTTTGACGAGTTCAGGTTCAGGTTCACGGACGGCGAGCGGCACTGCTCCCCGACCGCGCCCACGTCGGTGCAGAACCTGCTCTTCAACCTCCTGCAGGGCAACCTGCTCAAGAACGCCCGCAAGCTGCTGACCAGCCGCCCGGACGCCGTGTCCGCCGGCCTCCGCCGGTACGTGCGGACCGAGCTCCACCTCAGGGGCTTCTCGGAGGACGGCATCGAGCTGTACCTGCGGAAGCGCCACCGCGAGCCGGGCCTGGCCGACCGCCTCGTCCGCCTGCTCAGGGCCACCTCGGCCCTGCACGGCTTGTGCCACCTGCCCGTCTTTGCCTGGATGGTGTCCAAATGCCACCAGGAGCTGCTGCTGCAGGACGGGGGGTCCCCAAGGACCACCACGGACATGTACCTGCTGATCCTGCAGCATTTCCTGCTCCACGCCTCCCCACCGGACGCGGCCCCCCACGGCCCGGGGCCCGGCCTGCTCCGAGGCAGGCTCCCCACCCTCCTGCACCTGGGCCGCCTGGCTCTCTGGGGCCTGGGCGTGAGCTGCTACGTGTTCTCGGCCCAGCAGCTCCAGGCGGCGCACGTGGACGGGGCGGACGTTTCCCTCGGCTTCCTGGTGCATGCCAAAAGCGCGGCGCCCGGGAGCCCGCCGCCCCTGGAGTTCCTGCACATCACCTTCCAGTGCTTCTTTGCCGCCTTCTACCTGGTGCTCAGCGCCGACGTGAGGCCCTCCTCGCTCAGACACCTCTTCAACTGCCGCCCGACGGGGAGCTCGCCGCTGGCCCGGCTGCTGCCCGCGCTGTGCGTGCAGGGCCCGCCGCGCGAGGAGGGCGGCGTGGAGGCTTGGCTGCAGCAGGCCGAGCCGCACAACCTCCAGATCACGGCTGCCTTCCTGGCCGGGCTGCTGTCCAGGGAGCACCGGGGCCTGCTGGCCGAGTGCCAGGCGTCCGAGAAGGCCCTGCTGCGGCGCCAGGCCTGTGCCCGCCGGTGTCTGGCCCGCAGCCTCCGCAAGCACTTCTGCTCCATCCCGCCGGCCCTGCCGGGCGAGGCCAAGAGCATGCACGCCCTGCCCGGCTTCCTCTGGCTCGTCCGCAGCCTGTACGAGCTGCGGGAGGAGCGGCTGGCGCGCAAGGCTGTGCGGGGCCTGGACGTGGGGCACCTCAAGCTGACCTTCTGCAGCGTGGGCCCTGCCGAGTGCGCCGCCCTGGCCTTCGTGCTGCGCCACCTCCGGCGGCCCGTGGCCCTGCAGCTGGACCACAACTCGGTGGGCGACGTTGGTGTGGAGCAGCTGCTGCCCTGCCTGGGCGTCTGCAAGGCTCTGTAGTGAGTGTCGCGGGCGATGCTGGTGGGTGAGGTGAGGATGGCGGCACCGTGAAGGTGCAGGTGCAGGTGCGGGGGCACCTGTGGGGATCCCCGTGGTCAGGCCCAGCCCCAGCCTGCAGCCTCTCTGTACAGCCCCGGCCGGGTCCTTCCCCCAGTCTGGGCCTTCGTTTATGTTATTATTTTAAAATGTTTTTTTAATTGATTTCAGAGAGGAAGGGAGAGGGAACGAGAGATGGAAACATCAATGATGAGAGAGAATCATTGATTGCACGCCCCGCACTGGGGATCGAGCCTGCAACCCGGGCCTGTGCCCTGACCGGGAATGGAACCGCGACTCCTGGTTCATATGTCGATGCTCCACCATTGAGCCACGCCGGCCGGGCTATTTTATTTTTTATATTTATTTCAGGTGCATAGCATTGTGGTTAGACACTCATATAATTTACATATAATTAATTTACACAGACTACACTATTTACATACAATTTGCACATATTACATATAATTCCTGCTGGGCCTGGGCCTTCGTTTAAATCTCTGACAACGATCACCCTCACTCATAGGACAGCCTGGTGATGGGCACTGAGCCACACACTCCCCAGAGCAACCTCCGAGCCGCACAGCCACCCCGGCTGTCGCAGGGGCGTTCTCCCCACCAGCCTACACCCGAGGCTCAGAGACGTGACGTGACTTGACCAGGCTCGCGTGGGAAGTGGCAGAGCCGGGAGACACAAGCCCCACCCCCGTGGTTCTGCGTCCCCGTTCCCTCCTGGCAGCCTGGCAGTGGACGGCTCCAGAGGGCCCCTGACCACCTGCACGCCACTTGCAACATCATTCGCCGTAGATGCCTGTGTCGGCAACTGCTCCAAATCACGGGGGACTTGTGCCCCGTCAGAGACTTTAAAATCCTGACCGGACGGGAATTCTGGGGCCCCCGAGGGACGTGACTGTGGAATTGGGCCTGAGCTTTTTCTATATCTATACAGTGGGGCCTTGATTTACGAGTTTAATTCGTTCCGTGACGGAGCTCGTAACTCAAATTACTCGTATGTCAAATCAAGAAGTGAACGAGTGAGACACGTGATGCTGGGCTGATGTTGTGGCGTTCACTGTGACGTTCGCTGCGTCAACTAGCGGTGGGGTATCTGAAGCTGGCTCGTAACCCGAATTTTAGCTCGCAACTCAAAGCAAAAAATCGGTCGAAAAACTCGTTAGTCGGGACACTCGTAAGTCAAGGCCCCACTGTATATGTATATATCTACCTATATATTTAATTGATTTCAGAGAGGAAGGGAGAGGGGGAGAGAGAGAGAGGAACACCAATGATGAGAGAGAATCATGGATCAGCTGCCTCCTGCACGCCCCACATTGGCGATCGAGCCCGCAACCCAGGCCTGTGCCCTGTCCGGGAATCAGACTGTGACCTCCTGATTCATAGGTCAATGCTCAACCACTGAGCCCCACCGACCGGGCCGCCTGAGCTTTTGTTCCTCATTAGCGCTGGCTCTGGACGAGGCTTTGGCGTCACCCTCGCCGCCTCCAGTGCCATCTGAGGGTGAATTCCCCTTTGGAACGTCACTGCCCTGGTACCGTGGGCCTCTCTCCCCATCTTGGGCCGGATAAGTGCAGAGGGTGTGCCCCTGTCTGACGGCCAGCATGATGCAGGCTCCCCAGCCTGCCTTCCTGCCTCGGGAGGGGATGTCCTGCCCCTATTCTAGCCTCTCAGAAAGCAGAAGTTGGGTCTTAGCACCGACGTCCACTCGCGGCCTCCTAGGTGGCGTCATGGGGCCCTCACCAAGGGACCAACCTCTCCTGCAACAAATGAGGCCGCTATACCTTCTCGGCCGAAGCAGGAGAGGTCTTTCTCTTTCTTTTTTTTTTAAAAAAATATATTTTTATTGATTCAGAGAGGAAGGGAGAGGGAGAGAGAGAGAGAAACATCAATGATGAGAGAGAATCATGGACCGGCTGCCTCCTGCACGCCCCACACTGGGGATGGAGCCTGCAACCCCGGCACGTGCCCTGACCGGGAATCGAACCGGGACTTCATGGCTCATAGATCGACACCCAATCCCTGAGCCACGCTGGCCGGGCAGGAGCTTTTTTCTTTGTGGACCAAACACACAGATCCCTGAGCGGTGACCTTCATCTCTTAGGTAGGGTCCGTGAGCCTCAGTTTATAAATGGGATCTAATAGCATAACATAGATCACACAGAGTTAATATGTCATGATTACACTTGCGCAAATCAAGGTTGCTTTTTAAATTGCCAGTGCATGTCATAGGTACTGGCCGGTTGGTCGGACGGTCGGTCACTTAGCCTTTTATATATACAGACTAGAGGCCTGTTGCACGAAAGTTTCGTGCAATAGGCCTTCCCTTCCCCTGGCTGCCGGCACCGGTTTTCCTCCGGCACCCGGGACCCAGGCCTTCGCTCTGGCCGGAGGCGCCTTCAGTCTTCTCTCCGCTGCTTCGAGCCTACATATGCAAATTAACCGCCATCTTTGTTGGCGGTTCATTTGCATATCTCGCTGATTAGCCAATGGGAGGCGTAGCGAAGGTACAGTTAATTTCAATCTTTGTCTATTATTAGATAGGATTATTATTATTTTTCCACCTTGGAACCTTCTAGGAGGCCTCTCTGACGGCCGTTTCCCTTCCCCAAGGTCCAGTGTTCTTTAGCAGGAGCGCCGGGTCCCCCGTTCCTGAGCCGTCCCCCACACCGTGCATGACGTGGGCAGCTGGCCAGGGATGGGGGAGCCTGGCCTCCTGGGGGGCTCCATCTCGGTAGCATTTCCCGAAGCACAGATGCTGGCGCTTTGGGGATGAGCGAACGTCCCTTTTGAGGTCTGGTTCATTTTCCCCCCTCTCCTGAGCTCCATTTTCAAGCTGATTTGCTTGGTGTTTTGCAGCCTGAGAGATAATAACATCTCGGACCGCGGCATGTGCACGCTCGCCGAGCACGCCCTGCGCTGTGAGGAGCTGCAGAAGCTCGCGTGAGTCGGGCTGGGCCAGGTCCCGGGAGCGGCTGTGAGCTGGGGTGGGCTGGGCGGGCGTTGCATGGCTGAAGGGTGCAGGTGCCTCCCGTCCTAGGGGAATGGGCTGCCCTGGGTTTGGGGGGTCGCTGTCCGCCGTGTCTGGTCTCCATGTCTGTCTTTCGAACTTTCCAGTTTATTCAACAACAAGCTGACGGACGGCTGTGCCCAGGCCCTGGCGCGGCTCCTGGAGTGCCGGCAGAACTTCCTGGCACTGAGGTGAGCCTGGCTCCCCCACAGCTCCGCCCGCCCGGGCTCGGCCCTGCTGGGTGCGTGACTCCTGCCGAATACAGAGGGAGGGGAGCAGCGTTTTGGTAATGCTGTGACCTCCCAGCAAACCCTGGGCCTGCTGGGCTGAGGGCTGACCCGGGAGGAGAGAGTGACAGTGAGTCACCTCGCTCCCCTGGGGAACCACCTGCTGGGACCTCTGCCTCCTGTGGCTCCTGCCCGTGCCTGTCCCCCCATCTCCTGTCCCCCCATCCAGTCCCCCCCCAACTCCTGCCCCTCCTGTCCCTGTGCTGGTGGAGAATGGAGTCTCAGAAGCCATAGGCAGGCCCCCTGAACGGATAGCACACACGCATCCTGCAGGCAGGACAGGCTCCCACACGGATAGCACACATGCATCCTGCAGGCAGGACAGGCTCCCACACGGATAGCACACATGCATCCTGCAGGCAGGACAGGCTCCCACACGGATAGCACACAAGCATTCTGCAGGCAGGACAGGCTCCCCACACGGATAGCACACACGCATCCTGCAGGCAGGACAGGCTCCCACACGGATAGCACACACACATCCTGCAGGCAAGACAGGCTCCCACACGGATAGCACACACAGCATCCTGCAGGCAGGGCAGGCTCTCACACAGATAGCACACACGCATCCTGCAGGCAGGGCAGGCTCCCACATGGATAGCACACACGCATCCTGCAGGCAGGGCAGGCTCCCCACACGGATAGCACACACGCATCCTGCAGGCAGGGCAGGCTCCCCACACGGATAGCACACACGCATCCTGCAGGCAGGGCAGGCTCCCCACACGGATAGCACACACGCATCTTGTAAGCAGGGCAGGCTCCCACATGGATAGCACACACGCATCCTGCAGGCAGGGCAGGCTCCCACACGGATAGCACACATGCATCCTGCAGGCAGGGCAGGCTCCCACACGGATAGCACACACGCATCCTGCAGGAAGGGCAGGCTCCCACATGGATAGCACACACGCATCCTACAGGCAGGGCAGGCTCCCACATGGATAGCACACACACATCCTGCAGGCAGGGCAGGCTCCCACACAGATAGCACACATGCATCCTGCAGGCAGGGCAGGCTCCCACACGGATAGCACACACGCATCTTGCAGGCAGGTGCCCAAGGCGTCTGTCCAGGCGCCTCTGTCCAGGCTGCACTGTCCCCCGCAGACCCGGCCTCCCCGTGCCACGCTCTCCCAGCCTCCTCTCCTTCCCTCCAGGCTGGGGAATAACCACATCACGGAGGCGGGGGCCCAGGTGCTGGCCCGGGGGCTCAGGGCCAACACGTCGCTGCAGTTCCTGGGGTAGGTTGGGGTCTGGGCTGGGGGCCTGTGGAGGGGTGTGGGGCCGGGGAAGCTCCTGAGCCTGAAGGCCCCATGGGCAGCCCGGGCTCTGCTGGGGGGGCGAGGTGGGGAGCCAGTGGCCTCCTTGGCTGCCTGGCACTTGCTTCCCCCCCAGTAAACAGGAAGCTGAGGACGGCAGGGTGGGGGAGGGCAGTGCCCGCGAGGTGGCAGGAAGCTCGGGTCCTTGCTTCTCACCTCAGTCTGTGCGTAGGAACCAGCGCAGCTTTGAAGGGGCCCTGGCCAGGGCCCCTCCGCAGACCAGTTAAGGGAGCCCCCTAAGGTCAGGGCCCTGAATCAGTCACGTTCGAAAGCTCCCAGAGGAGGTGCTGATGGAGGAGAGAGAAGGACGCAGGGGAGGCTGGCTGGCGGCTGGACCAGGCCCTTCCAAGCGCCAGGCCTGCGGCGAGGGGAGGGGCGTCTGACAGGCTGGGGGTGCACAGCCCCACAGGCCCTGGGCCCGGAGTGGAGCCTCCTGTGTGCGGGACAGGGCCACACCCCCTGGCAGGTCCAGGCACTTGTGGGCACAGCTCCCAGGAAGCTGATCTGATCTAAATGTCAAGAAAAATGCTACAACCATGGGGATTGCCATGGGGAGTGAGTTCCCCGTCCCCGAGGGTGTGCTCGGGGTGGGCCTCTGCCGTCCTGTAAGTCTGCTGTGAAGCAGCCGAAAAGTCAGAGGGAAAAGTTTGGCCGTTCCCCCGCCCCCCGCCCCCCAGGAACAACAGAGGCAGGCCCGCCTGGCTGGGAGCCGGGAGCCCCACTGAGACCCTTCTGGGATTGGGGGGCCGGTGCTGCCCCCGGGCGGGCCGTGGAGAGGGAGGGACCACTGGGGCACACACAGCCTGGCTGGAGCACACGGCGCGTCCGCCCTGACACTGCTGACTCTGCTGGCCTTTTCAGGTTCTGGGGCAACGAGGTGGGGGACAAGGGGGCGCAGGCCTTGGCGGAAGCCCTGGGCGACCACCAGAGCTTGCGGTGGCTCAGGTAAGCCTCCGTGTCTGTCCCGCCGTCCTCCTGGGGAGCCGGCATGAGGAGGGGGGAGCTGGGCCCGTTCCGAAGGTCTCGGAACTTCATTTTTACCCCCCGGGTTGGGCAGAGGGATGAGAGGGAGAGGCCAGAGGGTTTGGGGTCAGGACACTGCAGTCTTTCTGGGTGACTTTGGAGCGGCCCCTTCTCCTCTCAAGGGTCTTGCTTCCCTGTCTGTAAGTTGAAGGTCTTGGGTTGGATCAAATATTAAAAAAAAAAAAAATTCTCACCAGAGGATATTTTTTCAATTGATTTCTAGAGAGAGAGTGGGAGGGAGGAAGGAAGAAGAGAGAGAGATAGAGAGACATTGATGTGAGAGACACATCGATTGGTTGCCTGGGCTTGGTGGAAAAGAATGCGGTAATCAATGATTGATGTCTGGAATAGAGCAGAGGGGGAAGTGGGGCCGAGTGCACGTGCATGCGTGCATGTGTGTGGTGTGTGTGTATATATGTGTGTGTGTATATGTGTGTGGTGTGTGTGTGTGTGTGTGTGTGTGTGTGTGTGCGCCACGCATCCTGGCTTAGCTTATCTCCCAGGCCCCTCCCCGCTCTGACCCGTTCTTGTTCCCTGATGGCATCCAGCCTGGTGGGGAACCGCATTGGCAGTGTGGGTGCCCGAGCCTTAGCCTCGATGCTGGAGAAGAACATGGCACTGGAGGAACTCTGGTGAGTTTGGGGAGTCCCTGCTCTGGGGGGCAGAGGCCAGCCTCTCCATTCCCTGGCCTCGTTGGGGAAGCAGCGGTGCGGACGAGACAAAGGTCTATGATGGAGCGATTGCTTGATTGCCCTCATCTCTCAGGGTCCTGGCGAACGAAGCTTACGGAGTCGGCATAGAGGTGCTCGTCCCCCCTTTTTTTTAAAAAAAATTAAATATATTTTTATTGATTTCAGAGATGGAGAGATAGAAGCATCAATGATGAGAGAGAATCATCAATCGGCTGCCTCCCACTCACCCCCCTACTGGGGATTGAACTGTGACCTCCTGGTTCATAGGTCGATGCTCAACCACTGAGCCACGCCGGCCGGGGGAGGTGCTCGCTCTTCGTACTGAACTGCACTGTGGGTTCCTTGGTGTGTGTACTGCCTCCAGGCGGCCTCACGGGTGAGAGCACGGATTCCGGAATCAAGGGGCTGTGATCAGAGGCCAGTTCAGTGCAGTCTCTGAGTCTAGTTCGTTTTCTCCAACTAGAAACACGTTTGTAAGAATTAAACGAGGCGATGCCCGGGACGAGCTGAGTAAGGGCTTCACACATGTTCCCCTGTCACAGTGCCGGTGAGGCCACTGTTGCTGCCGCCGCTGCACCCGCTGTAGCTACCTGTGACGTCACTGCTAACAGCAGCCCATCATGTCAGTGTGGCCGGAGCGCAGCGGCCGTGAAAGGCAGGGCCGCCCTGGCAGGTGGGGGGCAAAAGGGGGTGGAGTTGAAAGATGGACCGTGAATCATACAGGCAGGACCCATCTGAAGTGGATCCAGGTTTTCCATCTGTCAGTTGCCACCAGCTTAGCCTCCTTATGACGCGTCCTGGGCGGTCCCACGTTCTCTCAGGCAGATGAGTCGCTGATTCATCCAGGAAGCAGAAGGGACCGGGACCTCAGTGGAGTGGAGGTGGGGTGGGCCTTGGCTGTCGGTAGGGCTCGCTGGCTCCGCCCCACGGACCAGGGATTCTGTCCTGACGGGGTTTGGCCACCTGGAACTTCTTGGGAGAGGGGTGCCTCGCTGCCAGTGCATCAGTTATGATTCCGGGGGCTGCAGGTGAGGGAAAGCCTCCCCTATGGTGGCTTCAACCAGGAGAGGACTCCCTTTTCCGCATACAGGCGTCCCGGAGGCAGGCGGCGCAGGGCTGGTGGGTGGCCACAGGCCAGCGGGGCTCTGGACTCTCTCTCTGTCCATCACATCCTCCGTCTGTGGCTTCACCCTCACGGTCGGTTGCCTCATGACCACAAGAGGGCTGCAGCACCTCCAGCATTTCCTGTGCATTCCAGGATGCAGTCTGCTTTTCCAGGGAGGGCCAAGGCACGGGCCGGCGGGGTCTCTCCCCTTTTGAAAGCATTCCCAGGGGCCCATCGGCCATGGCCATGGGGAGGTCTCTGGGCCGGCCCTGGCTGCAGTGCAGAGTGGGAAATTGGGCGTTTTGTTGTTGTTTGTTTGACCAAGCACATGGCTGCCCCTAATGAAATGAGGCTTCCATTCATAAGAAAGAAAGAGAAGCCCAGCTGGCGTGGCTCAGAGGTTGAGCATCGACCTATGAACCAGGAAGTCAGGGTTTGATTCTTGGTCAGGGCACATGCCTGGGCTGCCAGCTCGATCCCCAGTGTGGGGCGTGCAGGAGGCAGCTGATCAAGGATTCTCTCTCATTGTCGATGTTTCTCTCTCTCTCTCTCCCTCTCCCTTCCTCTCTGAAATCAATAAAAATATAATTTAAAAAAAAAAAGAAAAGAAAGAGGAAATGGATATTGAGTCTCTGGGACATGAGGGGACCTCTTACGTCCTGGAGAATTTGGGGACATTCTCTCCCCAAAATGTCCCTGGGACAGAGCCCCCCCCATACCTGCCTTCTCTGCTCTTACTTTATTTGCAAGTGTGGATTGGGGGTGTTGGCCTTGCTAAGTGGGGGGACCTGGCTCCTCTCCAGTGACCCCCTCTTCCATGACGACTGTTCCCGCCTCAACAGAGTCCTCTCTCTTGTCCGCAGCCTGGAGGAGAACCAGCTTGGAGACGAAGGGGTCTGCTCTCTCGCCGAGGGGCTCAGGAGAAATCCCAGCTTGAAAGTCCTCAAGTAAGGGGCCTGCACAGGCCTGAGCATCGGGGAGGGGCGCTCTGAACCAGAGGCCCGGGCAGGGGCCCCGCCTGGCTACCTCCCAGCAGGCGGCCTGGCGGAACCGGCTGGTATTGCTGGGCAGTGGTTCCCCAAAACGCAGGCAGGGATTGCAAGGCCAGGCGGGCCCTGCAAACCCTGGTGACAGAGCCGTGAAGGGAGGCGGGGAAGGGAAGGGAAGATAACGGTGACGGTATGTCCCCAAGTCTGGGATCACCGAGGCGTCTGGAGCTCCATCCGCTGGTGCCAGGCTGTGGGGTGCTGCCCGTCCGTCTGTCTCATGTTGACGTGAGCATCTTCCGCGGTCGGCAGCAAGGCCTCGGGCGGGGACGGGGTCTTCCCAGCGAGCAGCCATCGGAGCAGGAGGTGGGGGCTGAGGGGACAGGGCTGGTGGCCGGCAGCAGGTGCCACGGCCCCCCACCTCCAGGCCTCTCTGGCCCAGGCGAGAGGCGTCTCATGATGTCACCTCCAGGCGGGCAGGCGCTTGCTCTATGGTGGGTGCGTGCGTCCGTGCCTGTGTGCACACGAGAAATGTTCCGCCCCCCCCCCCCCCGCCCCCGTCAGTGCTGGGCGCTCACTGAGGCACGGAGGGCATTGCGATGGCTCCTTTAGCTGGAGGAGGGGCGCTTTCCCTGTCAAGCGAGGCCTGAGGGAAGCAGACGTGGCCTCCGGGAGAGCGCTGCTTTGCCCACATGCCCGCTGTTGGGGGACGCTGTGTGTGTGGCTTTGAGGGGCCGGGCAGTTGACAAATATTTGGGGAAATCGCTTCCGCTCATTACAGGGCGAAGTGGCTGGGAGCCCGGTGCAGCCGGGATGTGCCTGAGCGGGACACCTGGCCTCGAGGACAGGGAGACCGGTGGCCGTGCCCGCTCCATCCCGGACCCGGTGTGGGGGAGGGGGCGCTGTGCTCTCTCCTGGCCGCGGACTTGCCCAGTCGGCCCCGAGGGAGGCCAGGCCGTGCAGCAGGGGCTGTCCCACCCTGCCTTGGCGTAGCTTATCATTCAGCGTCTCTAAGCGATCCCCCCCTCTTGGTTCCCCATAGAAAGACGCCTACATCTTTCTTGTAACCAAACTGCCAAGCGTTGGTTGAATGTGGGCTGTGGACCCAGTGCCTGGGTTTGGACCCGCCCCACCAGCCCGGCTGCTGCCCCTTGGACGAGGGCCCGGCCACGCAGGGGTGAACGGGATGACCATCGGGCCCGCCCCTCGGGGTCTGAGCGGGAGAGGGTGGAGGTCACAGTGGGCACACAGTAGGACTCCACCCGGTGGGCTGTTATGACTCATAGCATGGCCTCGGCATCCGCTTCTGAGAAGTTGCCGCCTTGGTGGAGGGCGTGGAGGGCAGGGCTGGAGGTGATTTGACTAGTTGAGCTATGAGAAGGGCAGGGTTATGAGAAGGACAGGATGGGGAACCCGTGCCTCTTCCCCCACCGTCCCTGACAGCCTGACACCTCCCTTCCCCATCCCCAACCTGTCTCCCAAGACCCCCGAGATGAAATGTCCCTGTTCATTGATTTTTTTTTTATTAATTCTCCCCCGAGGATGTTTTCCCATTGATTTTTAGAGAGAGTGGAAGAGAGAGGGAAGGACAGAGAGAAACATCGATGTGAGAGAGACATCGATTGGTTGCCTCCTGCACGAGCCCTGACCAGGACCAGGGCCTGGTCCGGGGAGGAGCCTGCAACCGAGGTACATGCTCTTGATGGGAATCGAACCCGGGACCCTTGGGTCCGCAGGCCGACGCTCTATCCACTGAGCCAAACTGGCTGGGGCCATTGATTCTTTCCCACCCATTAAGTACGGTGCCACGTGGTTTAGAACAAACCGTCCTTTAATTCCGATCCTTTGTGAAGTGGACACTCCTTTAGGTCCATGTTAGAGGGGAGGACAGTGGGACTCATGTGCTTGAGATCAGAAAGGAAGTTGGACCGGGACCCAGGAAGTCTGGCACTGAGATGCTTGTACTAGCCACCATGCTCAGCACCTTCCCGAGGGTGCAGCCCGAATCAGATCAACGAACCTGGCGTGTGGGGGAGAGAGCCGCCATCTCACCATTGGCCCCGAGCCTCTATGGGGAGCTCACTGGGGATCTCAGCAGGAGAGGGGCGTGAGGAGGGGTGGCGGGCGGCCTCCTGCGACAGGACAGGCCCCCGGGGACAGCCGAGCATCCGGGAAGCTCACCGGTGCCTCTTCCTCTGCAGGCTGTCCAACAACTGCGTCACCTACCGAGGCGCGGAAGCCCTCCTGCGGGCCCTGGAAAGGAATGACACCGTCCGGGAAGTCTGGTAAGGGCCCTGGGCAGGCCTCTCTCCCTCTCTGAGCCTCGGTTTTCCAATCTGTGAAATGGGGCCAGGGAAGAGGGGTGCTTGAGACTTTCTAAGTTCTCACATTCGGTGGCTTTCTGCACGTGGCGGATGTCGTTCTTTGTCTGGGAGAGACGCCTTCACGTCTCTGAGGAGGGACCCATTTTTTTATTTTAAAGTCATGAGTATTTATTTGGAACAGCTGTGTTGTAGGCAGGCGTATGGGAAGAGTAACAGAGGAGTCAGGCCGGTGTGGCTCAGCGGTTGAGCATCGATCTAGGAACCAGGAGGTCAGGGTTCAATTCCCGGCTGGGTCCCATGCCTGGGTTGCAGTCTCAGTCCCCAGTAGGGAGCATGTGGGAGGCAACTGATCAATGATCCTCTCTCATCACTGATGTTTCTCTCTTTCTCTCCTTCTCCCTTCCTCTCTGAAATCAATAAAAACATATATTTTTTAAAAAGTGCATGGGATACACTGACCATGACAGCTCAGCGCAGCCCGCCTTAAACATGCTAGGGACTCGTACACTAGCCTCGGGCGGGCACCCTCTTCCCACTGCCCAGCATCCGCGAGGGCGTTGCGCCACAGCCGCTGGCCCGGGAGAAGATCGCATTCAGAGTGCGGCTTCCACTGAACGCCTGTCGCGTTTGCACCGTCGTGAAGTCAAAAAACATGTCGAGCCGTGTAAGGTGGGGCCTGTCTGTATTTTACAACTAGGAGATTCCCCCCTAAAAGTCTATACTTCAGCCCTAGCCAGTCTGACTCCGTGGTTGGAGTGTCAGCCCGAGGACTGAAAGGTTCTGGGTTCAATTCCAGTTAAGGCCCCGTACCTCGATCCCCATCCCCGGTTTGGGCGTGTGTGGGAGGCAACCAATCGATGTGTCTCTCTCACATGGATGTTTCTCTCTCTGTCTCTCCCCCTCTCGTCCACTCTCTCTAAAAGTCAATAGAAAAAATACCCTCAGGTGAGGATGAACAAAACAAACATATCTATACTTCAGGGTTTTCTCAAAAAAAAAAAAAAAGCTGGTAGGTACCTCTGAACCCCCAGTGAAAGTGCCAGGAATAAAACAGAGAAGCGGAAGGACAGACCCCTCTCCGCCAGCCCTGCTGACTCACCCCCACCACGCCCGCTGCCCGCACCAGGCCCCCGGCCTGCGGTCCCTCACCCGCCTCCTCCCCGGGAGCTGGCGGCCCTGCTCTCTCAAGGGGCAGACTCTCCCCTCCCTCAAACCCACGTCAAGGCGGCAGCCACGGCAGGTATCAAGTGGCGAAGTTAAAAATAACGATCCTCAAAGCGGCCTGTGGTGGCGAGCGTGTCTCTGTCCGACCGGGTCATCCCCGGGCCGTGAGGGCCGCAGGGCCCGGGCGCACGCAGGGAGGGGTGTGCATTGTTTTTGTTTTGCAGTCACTGCACAGCCCTCGGGAATGTCACGCTCTGTGTCCGGGGCGAGCAGGCCCGCGTCAGGCGGATATTTTAAGGGTTCTGATGCGATTTGCTTCCTGCTGCTGCTGCTGGGGACGTGCTCGCTGCGCCTGGACTGCTCTGCTGCCGCCTTACGGAGCGGCGGGCGGGCCGGGGCCAGCGGGGACTCTGAGCCGCCCCTGAGCGCCGTGCCATCGCCCCCAGGGACGCGTGAGCTGCCCCGGCCGACACGGGGCAAAACCAGCAGACTTCCCTCCCGGGAGCCAGCGTTACCAGCTTTTAAAAAAAGTTTATTTTATTTAAAAACCCTGAAGTATAGACTTTTAGGGGGGAATCTCCTAGTCGTAAAATACAGACGGGCCCCACCTTACACGGCTCGACATGATTTTTTGACTTCATGACAGTGCAAACGCGACAGGCGTTCAGTGGAAGCCGCACTTTGAATGTGATCTTCTCAGGGGCCAGCGGCTGTGGCGCGACGCCCTCGAGGGATGCTGGGCAGTGGGAAGAGGGTGCCCGCCCGGAGGCTGTGGGGCTGCGGGGGCAGGCCATGGCTTTAGGGGTTCCGCTTCCGTCCTGGGAAAGCGATGCCGGGTTCTGTCCTCACTCCGCCCTCTCTTTGCTTTGTCCCCCGAAGGCTCCGGGGAAACGCCTTCTCTCCGGAGGAAATGGAGACGCTGGGCCACAGGGACGCCAGGCTCCTGCTGTGATGTCTCCGGCCCTCGGATCCCCTCGGTGTGTGTGAGAGCCGCCGGCCGGGCCCCAGGGGCTGGATGACACCTGCGGCCGCCCGCCCGCCCGCCCGCCCGGATGGAGCCCTGTCCTGCCCAGGCCAGCTCAGCAGTGACCTTTGTTCTGGCACAGAAGGGGCATCAGTGCCCTCGGAGTGGACGTCTCCACGGTCCCCGTGGCCACCGAGTTCTTCCCACGCTTCTCGGCCGCAGAGAGGAGCAGCCCCTCCGTGTGGCGGGGCGGCCTCCGGCGGATGCAGTGCGTCAGGGGCCCACGAAGGCTACCGAGAGCCTAGTGGTGGGGAGCTGGATCCCCGTGAGAAGCCCCTTCCCACGCCTCTCACAATGGGGGCCGGGGGTGTTCAGGGAGAAACTCTCTTTTTTGGTATATGTTGTTGTTGATTAAAGAGAGAGGAAGGGAGGGGAGAGAGATAGAAGCATCAGTGATGAGAGAGAATCATGGATCAGCTGCCTCCTGCACGCCCCACACTGGGGATCGAGCCCACAACCCGGGCCTGTGCCCTGACGGGGATTCGAACCGTGACCTCCTGGGTCATAGGTCGACGCTCAACCCCTGAGCCATGAGGGCCGGGCAGGAAGGAACTTTCTGCCGTGGGTCAACCACCCAGGCTGCTCCCCCATCCGGTCCCCCCGCCCTCCCTGGATGCGCACGTGGCATTTCCTCTGGGGCTGAGGGCTGCGGAGTCAGTGTCCTCCGCTTTGCTATCCTCACCTCCCGGCCCCACCATGGGAGGGGCTGCCACTCCTTTCGGGTCCTTAAGACGCTAATGGAGGGGACACACGACAGCTACTGAGTCCCCGGGATTGTCTAGATCTGCGAGAAGAATGTGACCCCACGGCAGCTGGTGCCACACGTGGACTTTCATTTCCTGTGACGCCAGTTCCTCCAGGGAAGCCGGTGGCATCACCTCGCCATCCAGAGGCAGCTTTGAAAGAATCCGTCCGCGCCAGGATTTGGAACGCCCTCCCCAGGTCTCCCTCCGGGGGCTGCCTGTGAGCTGGACTCGGAGAGCAGACTCCCAACTCTCCTCCTAAGAGACGATTGATTTTTAAAATAATTGATTTCAGAGAGGAAGGAAGAGGGAGAGAGAGAGAGAAACATCAATGATGAGAATCATTCATCGGCTGCCTCTTGCACGCCCCCTACTGGGGGCACAGCGCAACCGGACATGTGCCTGCCTGGGAATGGAGCTGGTGACCTCTTGGTTCCTGGGTCAGCGCTCAACCACTGAGCCACACCGGCTGGGCGAGGCCATTGGTTTTTGCCAGATGCTCCGGGATGTAAAGTCGAGGATGAAAAGTTTACAGAAGCAACACCAGAGGCCCTTCCTCACCAAGCCGACGCCTTCCGGGGTTTCCCGAAGGGCGCACAGAGCCTTTGTGAACCTGCAGGTGCCGTGCACGCGTGATTGTGCTCAACAGCGTTGCTCGTGGAAACTGGTTACTATTTATAAACCTCTTTATTTTATTCTCCCAAGTTTATATTTTTATTAAAAAAAGACGCATGAGAAAACTCTGGTTTCCCCCCAAGCTGTCTTCGTCAAGACCGAATGTGTTTTTTGTCCTGTCCCTGCAGCTTGTCAAGGATTAAAGCAACGCTATGTTTCCGACCAGGTAAGTTATTGCCGAAGGCGAAAGCAAGTCTTAGAGACAGCCTCGCCATCCAAACAGACTGGGCTCCGGCCTGGCAGAGCCTAACCCGGCGTGACGTGCTGAGCTGTGCCGGACCCTCCGGGGCCCCGGCGAAAGGCCCCTGGGCCCCCCTCCGTGCCCTCCACGTGGCTCCGGGCGCCTTTTAACCGGAGAAGGAGGGAGACGACTGGGCACAGCAGTCCTCTGCCAGCCTCCGTCGGGGGCGCCGAGCGGGAAGAATTCTGAGCTGCGTTTAATGAGCAGGGGCGCAGGTGGCTGCTCACCAACGAGAAATCTGCTCCTTTGAAAGGTCCCGTGTGCCTGGCTCGTTAGCCGGGAGGCATCCCGCGGGGCTCCTGTGTGTGAGCGTGTCTCGGGTTCTCTCGGGGGGTGGCCGTGGCTCTGTCCAGACCGTGGTTGCTGACAGAGACCAGGAGGGAGAGAAGGTGGGCCTGCTTTCTCTCGACCAGCACACACAGCAGCCTCTTCACACATCTTGGATTGAGAATGCATCTTCCTGCTTTTCTTTTGTTGTTAATCCTCACCCGAGGATATTTTTTCCACGGATTTTTCTTAGAGAGAGAGGGAGGGAGGGAGGGAGGGAGGGAGGAAGAGAGAAACATCCATGTGAGAGAGACACATTGATTGGTTGCCTCCTGCACACACCCCAACCGGGGCCTGGGATGGAGGTATAGGCCCTTGACCTGGAATTGAGCCCGTGACCTTTTGGGTTGTGAGTTGATGCTCTAACCACTGAGCAACACCAGTGAATCTGAGTGTCTCTCTCTCCCCTCTCCCCCCCAGATAAGGAGAGCAGGGCCAATGCATCTTCCCTCATTTCACTTTGCAATCATATCAGCCAGGCATGTTGGGACGATCGGTGGGTGGACAAAGGAGACACGGTTCCCGTCTCCCAGGCCATTGTGGGGAGCAGGGGGGAGGGGGAGGGAGAGGCAGGGAACAGGTGACCAGGCGACAAGCAGTACAGAGACCCTGTCGTGGGAAGGAGCTTGGTCTGTGTGGTTGGCTGAGTAATGGCCCCTGAAGGTCCTAATCCCGGGACACGTGAATGTTGCTTAGATGGCGAACGGGACTGTAACGATACGATGAAGTTAGGGGTCTTGCGATGAGGAGAGCCTCTTGGATGATCTGGACAGACCCCCAAACGCAGCAAGAGAGAGAGAGGCCAAGGGAGTCTGACCCACGAGAACAAGGCAGTGTGGCCGCTGATGTAAGATGCTCCCTGGCTGGCCTTGAAGGTGGAGGAAGGGACCCTGGGCCGAGGGATGCAGCTCTAGAGGCCGGAAAAGGCCAGGACACACTTGTCCCTGGAATCGCTGGGCACATCCAGCCTTGCCACCCTTTTGGGACTGTGGCCTCCGGGACTGCAAGAGAATAAATCCGTGCCATGGTAAGCCACCGAGTTCATGGCCATCTGTTGCAGCAGCCACAGGATCAGCATCAAGAGGGGCGAGGGGTCCTTGGGCCTGGAGGGCGTGACCCCGGGGGAGACTGTGGAGAAAGAGGAGCTCGAGAGTGCTCAGGTAAGACGGGTCCTGAGAACCGGGTGTGCAATTGCTGTCAGGGCTCCGAGTAGAAGGTTCCTATCTTTGAAAAATCCTGCAGGTTCACGCACAGCGTTCTGGGCCCGTGCAGGTAGCTCATGAGGGAGGACTCTTCATCTTAGACTTCTCGGATGGGGAGGTTACCTGAAAGGTATGTGCTGGAGGCCAGTGACTTACCGGGGGCAGGCAGATTCCTCTTGTGGCCAAGAAGATGTGATTCGTACGTGTAGACAACGAGGTAGCAGAGCAGGAGAGTTTTTTATATATATATTTTTAAAAATATATTTTTATTGATTTCAGAGAGGAAGGGAGAAAGAGAGAGAGAGAGAGAGAGAGAGAGAGAGAGAGAGAAAGAGAGAGAGAGAGAGAGAAACATCAATGATGAGAGAGAATCATGGATTGGCTGCCTCCTGCATGCCCCACACTGGGGATCAAGCCCGCAACCCGGGCCTGTGCCCTGACCCTGAATGAAACCAGGACCTTCTGGGTCATAGGTCGATGCTCAACCACTGAGCCACGCCGGCCAAGATGGAGAATTTTTTAAAAGAGCTTTAGACTTTAATCATATTCACCATCATCCTAGAACGAAAAAAAAAGTGAATCTGAGTGCCCCCCCGCCCAGCACCAAAAACAGATGCCGCAATGAATACACCCCCAGAAGTGTGGGCGGTAGCACCGGGTTCCAAGCGGGCTGAGTTGAGACCACAGCGTCATTTCACTATCGCACCAACACGTCCGCGGGAGCCTCCCTCCCCACGTGGGATGCTGCAGCCCAGCGGGCAAAGCGCACAGCCATCGGGGCACAGCCATCGGGCACGCACCTGGCAAGCCTGCACAACAGGGAACGCAGGGCCTCAGGCCCCGGTTGGCAGGTCCCAGGGGAAGGGCAAGGTCATGACCAACATTGGGGACCAGCCTGGGCAGTTTCCCCTGGAAAATTACGTGGGGGCGGGCCTGCAGCTGTGCAGACTGGCAACCCGAGATCTTTGGCTTCCTCCTTTTTGGCTCTAATTTAATCCCCTCTATCAACATTTCCAGAACAACCCACAAATCCTATCTCCTAAGCATTGCTGCTCCCCCATCAGCCACCCTGAAAATCCTTCTGACAAGAGCTCCACACCCCCCCCTTTTTTTTTAAACTTGGAACAACTTCTTTCTTGACATTTTCAGCCTCACACCCCCCTCCTCTCAACCACTCTCCCCCACCCCCAGGAAACAAGGGGCTCTTGGGGGGTCCCTTGACTCCATGGCTGCACTGGTCTCCTCACTGGTCCCCTGGCTTCTGCCCTTGACCCTCGGAGTGAGCCAGATAAAACAAGTCAGACAGGCTACAGGGGGCCCGAGAAAAAGCCACCAGAGGGGACGTCCCGCTGCACCTGGACCTCCCGCTCGCTAGGTGTGACTTCTTTTATGTACTCACTGGTTTCAATCCCCTCGATCTTCAGAGAGATCACTTTCCACGGGGGAAATTTCCCCTCTCACGATTAAACACACACACACACCCCTCTTCCTCCCTCACTATTAATCACCTTCTCCTATAATTGGTACTTAGAATGTCAAAGGAGAAGGAATTAATTAACAGGAGTATCCAGTGCCGCAAAGCATGCTGCAAGGCCCTGGGACTGATTATAAAAAGCACTTCCTTAAATATTTTGAGCGCTTTTGGGAATCACAAACCTCCCTTGTAATTGAGAGATCCTTAACTACACCCCAAGTCCTGGCTGGTGGCCAGAGGGCGCAGAGCTGAGTGAGGCGGCGTGCGGACACCCCGTCCTCAGCACCTCAGGGAGAACTCTTTCCCACCCGGGAGAGGTGGCCACCCGGGTTCAGAAACGGCACAGGTCCCAGGAAGAGGACCGACATGACTGAGCGCCTGTTGTGCTTTTCACATCCCTCCTTGCAAGACAGGTGTTACGATGATCTCCACTTTACAGATGCGGACATGGAGGCTCAGCATGGTTGTGAGTTCCCCCTGCCACGCGTCTCCTTATTGAAAGCACAAAGGATTCACACTTCGGTTTGATTCCAAAGCTTTGCTTTTCCCCGAACCCTGAAATGCCATTCCCAGCCCTCCTCTGGACTGCTCTCTACCCACAGCCCCAAACTCAGCCTGCAAGTGTTTTGACAGCTAAGCCTACTGACAGAACCCGAGCATCGGAGGTGGAGCCAGGGAAGCACGGCGCCCCGCCCCCGCTCAGGTGTCAGCCAATGGAGACGCGGAACCCAGAGTCTTCCGTCCAATCCCCGCCCTCATCCTCCGGGGCCCCTCCCCTTCCCTCCACTTTCCCTTTGGCTCCACCGAGCTTGACGGAGCGGAAAGTCCCTACAGACCGCTCCGGGTCTGCAGCCATTGGAGGAAGGTCTGTCACCGGGAGACCCAATCAGAGCGTGCGCAAGAACGCAACTCGGGCTGTGATTGGTCAGCGCGGCGGTTGCGTCCTCCGCCCCCGCTCTCTCCCGCCCCCTCCAGTGCTTCGGAGGCGGGGCAGGTGGGGGCGGGCCCAGGTAGCAGGTTCGGCTGCGCGGGGGCCGGGCGTCGGAGGTAAATACTGGGGCGGTGGGTGCTGGGCTTCGGGGCCGGTCCGGGAAGCGGACGAACGAGGCCGGGGAAGGGACTCCGCCCGGCTGTTCGAGGTGAGTGAGCGAGGGGGCGGGTGAACCGGCGAGCGGTGGGCAGCCGGGGCCTCTCGGGCGCCCCTCCCCGGCCCCTGGACGCCTCCGGCCGTGGCCGTGACCATCGGGCCCTCGGCGCCGGCCCGTTAGCTGCCCCGGCCCCGAGCCGGTCCGGCCCGCGGGACACCGAGCCCGCTGACGTCAGCCCGGCTTCCCCTCGCCCGGGGCTTCCCCACCCCCCGGGCCCTCCCGAGAGGGCTCCCGAGTGGTGGTGGGCGCCTGGCCGCCCCGCCGGGACCCCCGGGGAAGACAGGACTTGGAGTGGGAGCCGCGCAGGAACCCCTTTCCCCCTTGGACCCCGTGTTTACAAATGGGGAAACCGAGGCACGGGCCGCCGGCCGGCTCCTGACCGCCCCGGCTGGCCTCGGGAGCCCCCCGGCTGTGCCATCTCCCCTCGGCGGGGTGGCGCATCTCCAATCCGTCGGTCCCTGGGTGTCGGGGTGTCTGTGGCTTCCGTCCAGGAAGAGCGGCCGGGGTTCGGGCCTCGCTGATGGCGTGTTCTGCTTTTCCTTTCAGTTTCCCGTTCCCACAGAGAGGATGGTCTCTGCCCAGCCCCGGGTCCTTCGGCTGACAGGTGCGCTCCGTTGAATGAAACAAGGTACACTTT